GCCTTCACAAACCCTCAACAGCAAAAGTATTTCATAGGCAAACATTTATTTTAAAAGATAGTGTTCACCTTATTTTAGAACTCAGGGTCTATGTCAAGATTTCACACTGTGCTAAATGCATTACAACAGCTACCAAAAGTGCAAAGTGTATTCTTAAAATGGTCAAACAATACACAGAATACTTGTGTTTCTGCATGCTGACCAATTTCAGTATCTCCACCACCACCACCCCCCGCCACCTCATATAACTAAAGCACAAACTGAATGAGATATGTGTAAAGTATCCTGCAATCTACTATATCAAAGCAAGCAGATTTATCCAATTGCTTTTATTCTCTGAAGCACACTACATTCAGAATACACCATTATATTTCACTTACCATTACCATGACATTATTCTATTTCAGTATGAAATACATACACAGTGGTTATCTTTTGACAGTTCAGAAACACTGGTCAAAGTGTAGCATTCAGGAATCCGGTTACGTTTGGTAATGATGCCGTGAAAAGAGAAACTATCCTGATTTTTACTAATTTGAAAAGCAGCAGGATTTAGCTAGTAAAATGAGCAAAAGATGCAGAAAAACAGAAAAGGCCAAACATGGTCTTGATGTAAGTGGGCAAAGCTCCACCACTGACTTTGATGGTGGTATAACTGCTTATGCCCATTTGCATTTGGTTCTGCAATTACATATTAGAGGAAGGGCTAAGTAAATATACCTGGATATAATGAGAAATGGTGATCTAAACTTCACTAAAACTCAACCCAAATCTGATTTGTGTTTGAAAATAGGTTTGAATGATTTTTTTCCCATTAGTTTTTAATTATGGGAACTTCTGGTGAAAAGAACAGAGACTCAGGGCAAGTCTACACTACAAAATTAAGTTGACATACAGCCAACTGCAATTAAATCACTTTGGCATGTCCACGCTACGTTCCTTGTGTTGGTGGTGCGGGTCCTCACCATGAGTACTTGCACCAATTTAACTGTCAGTGTGTGGCATTGTGGGAAGGCTTCTAAAAGGCAGCAACAGTCAATGTAAACAATGCAGTGTCTACATTGACACTGCATAGACCTAACTACATCAACCTAAACGCTACCCTACACCTCTCATGGCAGTGGAGTTATTAAGTCGGTGTAGTGGGTGAGTTACGTTGGTGGGAGCTACATTTTAGTGTAGACTTTTACAGAGTTAGGTCAATGTAGGCTGCCTTACATCAACTCAGCTCTACAGGCCCAAGAGAAGCCAGCACAGCAGCAGGCAACCTTTGCAAGAGAGAGACTGAAACAGGATTGGTGTTCTTCCTAAGGAGAGAAAAATAGATGCAGACAAGTAGAGTCAGAGAGGAATCTGGAAAAAAGCACAAGGGAGCTTAAAAACATCAAAAAGGGCAGTAGCGAGTGCTCTCAGAACCCCGAGTTCATTAACTAGATCAAAGATGACAAACTACGGGGTGTGAAAACCTGCCCTTACCTCCATACACACACTTGCCTTGCAGAAAGATTAGATACAGAAAAGAAAGCCCTTAAAGTTGTATGTTCACAGCATACACAAGGAGAACAAATACTCTTGCTGGAAGGTTGAAGTGTAACACTGCTTTATTTCTTAGAATTCAGAACACACAAGAACCTAGAAACAGAGACAGAGAAAACAGACTACTCCCCAAGGCAGTGAGGCATAACTCGCCTAGATTGTTTTACATTAAATTAAATTAATGGAGATATCCTATCTCTTAGAAGTGGAAGGGACCTTGAAAGGTCATCAAGTCCAGCCCCCTGCCTTCACTAGCAGGACCAAGTACTGTTTTTTCCCCAGATCCTTAAGTGGCCCCCTCAAGGATTGAACTCACAACCCTGGGTTTAGCAGGCCAATGCTCAAACCACTGAGCTATCCCTCCTGGGATAGCTGGTCCTTTCCAGACTGACTCTGATCACAGGCTTTGCTACAGAAAGAGATCTGTAGCCTGCAAGTAGGACCAGAAACTCCCCGCCTCACACACACAAACTTAAAATGATAGCTAGCAATTCCAACACAGTCCTCGATACATCATAAAAGCATATTTTGTACAAGAGTGTTAGTGTGATGATGGGCCAGATTCCATGTGCTAGAGCTGATAACAGAAGTCAGAGTAAGCCTAGAATTGCTGTCTGTCATCACAACCATTTACTGTAAGCAGGAACATCTTGGTCCAATAAGGGAACAGTAACATTTAACAGTGGTCTCTCTTCTGACCTGTTCTGATACTTTTAAATGGAGAAAAGTCCCACTTCCTGCCACAGAAGCAGCTGTCATTTTGTGTTCAGATACCGCCTGCTACCGAGGTGTCACACACAGAGTGCTCACTTAATATAATCCAAGCTCCTTCCCGCTGACACTGTACGGCTGCTCTTTGTATGTGGAAGAACCTAACATTAATAATCATGGGGGTTGAGTTCAAAGAGATCATCTCTAGGAAACTGCTGAGGAAACCTGTCTGCAAGAGTTGTACAGAAGAGAACATTCTGTGAGGAAAGCTGGAATCAACTGCAAAGGACAACGGGGAGTTGAGCCCTCCCAATGAGAGACATTGGAGAGCCAGGAGCACTTGTATCAGACAGGGAAAAGAGCTGATCTGTGCCATTTTCCTCCTATAACTTAAGTTTGTTAAGCCAGTTATGAGAGCAGGACTTGCTAGAGGGATTAGTAATGGGAACGGAGCTGTTCTTATTCACTGAGCTGAATGTGCCCCAGCTTGGCAGTAAAGGCCTATTGAACATCCCCAAATAGGAGTTGGATGGTATAAATCTAAATTTTTTTTAAAGGAAACACTGCTGTCTTGGTTTCAACCTAGGAAAATATCATTTTGTTTCTCTTCAAAATATCTGGGCTATGTAAGCAACTCTACTCCACAACAAAGAGTGAATCTAAGCTAACCCAGTGGCCTAGTGATAGTGCTCTGAACTACTGAATAAGAACACAGGTGAAACCCGGCCTATGGTCAGCACTGGTGGATTCTGAAAGGAGCCCCATTCAGCTCATTTAAATAGGAATATATTGGCTACAATGAGGAATTATCCCCAGTGTTCTGGCAGGGAGGCAGATAATCTCTCACCATCAGTGTAAAGTTCCCTCTGAGTAAGGAAATTGACTGTTAAGAAAATTGACTTGCAGACTAAATTCTACTCTCATTGCCATTTGTAGATCTCACTGTAAATCTAAATTAAACCAACATCATCAGCAGTTGCTCCAGATTTACACCAGCATATCCAAGAGCAGAACTGGGCCCACTGTCATCCTGTTCTGCAGAATTAACTGCCCCTTTTATACATGCAGCCATAAAAGTATGAAGAGAAGTGAAAGAAATATTTGCAATAAAAAGTAGCACCATCAGCCACATCCTGCACTCCTTACTTGGTTCTTACTTAAGCAAGCTTCCCATTGAGATCTGGGCTGTTTTGCCTGAATAAGGAATGAATCAGGCTTTTACCCACAGTGATAAAATACCACTGGAATAAACTGATACCTCATTATTAGGAGTATGCAGGAGATCAAGTATTCATAGTTGGGGGAAAACATTTCAAATGATGTAAATTAGCACACTTACATTGACTCTAGTGGAGCTACCCCAGTTTACATCAACTGAGCAGAGCAGGTCAGAAAATGGAATTTCTGTCCAGTGGGAAATTCTGTCATTTCAAAATTTGTTTTCATTCTGAATTGGAACAAAAAGTTGAAATTTTGAAATTTCTCCTGGAATGGAAATTCATAAAAAATTGATTCAGAAACAGCAAAACATTTTGTGTCAATCATGTTGAATTGTTTTATTTTCATGTCAAATTATTTTGTTTCAATAATGTCAAAACATTATAAAATATAATATATATTATATAATAATAAATGTAATGTAACCTTATAATTATTATGATATTAACATAATATAAAATTAAATTAATGTATTGTAATATGCAAGTCTCTACAAAATGAAATTATAACGTTGAAAAAAAAACATTTAAACATTAATTGAAAAGAGAAAAAGAGTTGTATTAACCTCTCTCATTTACTGACACCAGTTTAGCTACTGACTTTGATAGCATTGTTACCCGTTCAAGGAACTTAGCCTGCTAGTTATTTACAGCATAATTTACAGTGTCACCAGTAGTCAGGTGCTAAATTATGACCCACAATGGAGAATTTTTAGATCTGATCTTGAGCAAATTATGATCAAGTTTAGAAAAATTAAAGACAGATGGGAAGGTCTATTGCAAAATTGCTGCAGGAGCAAAAAGGGGAAAAAAAACATCAATGAAGCAATTTTAATAAAATTCAAATGAAGTGAGATAATGTACAAATCATTTGGTAAAAATACATCTTTTAAATCATGTTTGGAGACATTTCAATGCCACGGTTACACTTTTAATTTCCAAAATGGTTAATTGCTCGATTATTGCAATAGCTTTGATTGGCTGTAACTTAGCCCTCAAAACTATTAAGATATTGCTATAATGATAAAAATTCACTGCAAGAAAATGGTTATTATATAAGAATGCCTCTTCCAGATATTTATGGAGAGGGGTCATTTTTTGTTGTGGTAGTTTTTTGTTTTGTCATGCAAAAGTTTACAATGAGAAAGAGTTTATTGAAAAAAAGAGAAAAAAGAAAGAAAAAACTGGGGCCAATTCAATAATCAATTCTCAATTAGCTTATACTTTTCACTTTTTAAATTGTTTTGGGGCTTCATGAACACACAGCAGAAACCAGAGGCTTTTTTTATTTTTGAGTCAGGGCACACTTCACCTCTGTTATTGCCATTCACTGATCCCCTGTTTCTTATTTTTTTCCTGTCTTTCTTCCTTCAGCTATTTTAGAAATGGAAAAAAATGGTTACTAACCTTTCCGTAACTGTTGTTATTCAAAATGTATTGCTCGTGTCCATTCCACGTTCGGTGTGCGCATGCCGCATGCACTGTTGCCACCGATTTTTCCCTAAGTGATATCCGTTGGGCTTGCTCTAGCGCCCTCTGGTGCCACATGCTTATGCACCAGCATAAGGGTCACTTCCGGCCCCACATCCTCTCAGTTCCATCTTGCCAGCTAACTCTGACAGAGGGGTAGGAGGGTGGGCTGTGGAATGGACATGAGCAACACATCTTGAAGAACCACAGATACAGAAAGGTTAGTAACCATTTTTCTTCGAGTGATTGTTCATATCCATTCCACGTTAGGTGACTCACAAGCTGTACCCAAGGAGGTGGACTCAGAGCTCATGGACACGCGGACTGGAACAGTGCTCTCCCAAACCTTGCATCATCTCAAGTCTGTTGTGTGATGGCACAGTGGGAGAAGAAGGTATGCACCGACAACTAGGTTGCGACCCTGCAGAAGTCTTGGATTGGGACCTGCGTCACAAATGATGCAGAATAGGCCTGAGCTTTCGTGGAATGAGTGGTCATGATGGCAAGAGCTAGAACATGCTCAAATACAGGAGGTTACCCAGGATGAGATTCTCTGGGCTGCAACCAGCAGGCCTTTCATCCTCTCTGCTATTGCCACAAGAGTTGTGTGGATCTGCGGAACGGGTTAGTCATCTCAATGTATAAGGTAGGGACACGCCTAACATCTAAGCCACGGATCTTCTGAATTCTTGTGTGGCCTCAGGAAGAAAATGGGCAGGAAAATGACTTGGTTGCTATAGAACTGTGAGACCACCTTTGGAAGGAAGGTTGGATGGAGCCGTAGTTGAACCTTGTCCTTGAAGGACACTGGTTCTGACTTAAGGGCCCTGATTTCAGAGACCTTTCTGACTGAGGTAATTGCTGTTGAAAGGCAACCTTCCATGAGAGAAACAGCAGAGGGCATGACACTAGTGGCTCAAAGGGCGGGCCAGCGAGTTTTGATAGGACCAGGTTTAAATCCCATGGGGGAATCAGTTCACAAACCTGAGGGTACAGCCTCGCTAACTTTTAAGAAAGCAGATTGCCATCTCGTGAGAAAATACTGGCCTACCACCTCCATTGGCAGGTGAAAGGCCGAAAATGCTGCTAGGCATACCTTGATAGATGCAAGGGCAGACCTTGCTGGTTCAGGTAGAGCAGGGAATCCAGTATAGATTGAAGGGAAGACCGAATCAGGGAGAGACCTCGTTGAGAAGATTGTATCAAGAAACGCTTCTGCTTAGCGAGGTAGGTTGCCCTAGTAAACGGCTTCCTACTACCTAGCAAGACCTGGAGAACTTGTTCTGAACAGGCTTGCTCCTCCAGGTTCAGCCATGGAGCTTCCATGCAGTCAGGTGAAAGGCCTCGAGCTTTGGGTGGAGTAAACAGCTGTGGTCTTGTGAGATCATGTCTGGGCAGAGGGGGAGCAGCAACGGGGGTGCTACTGATAAGTCTAGCAGTGTGCTGAACCAGTGTTGGCATGGCCACGCCGGAGCTATAAGAATAACTCTCACCTTGACCCACTTGATTTTCAGTAGGACCTTGTGTACCAGAAGAACTGGAGGAAATGTATAGAATAGGCACTCTGTCCATGGAAGCAGGAAGGCATCTGAAAGGGAACCTGGGTGTACCAATCCCCTGGATGCTGGGAGGAGATGATGGAGGCCAGGGAGACAATGCAGAACCTCAGTTTCTTGAGATGTCTGTTGAGGTGACGCAGGTCCAGGATGGGACGAAGCTTTGGGATTAGGAAATATCGGGAATAAAATGCCTTCCCTCTCAAATTTTGAGCCACCTCTTCCACTGACCCCACCCATAGAAGGGTTTGCACCTCCTGGGCTAGGAGTTGCTTGTGAGAAGGGTCCTTGAAGAGGGACATGGATGGGGGGTGGGAGGAAGGGGTGGAGGAAAACTGAAGGGTATAACCATCCACCACTGTATTTAGCACATAAAGGTCTGATGTGATGAGGAACCACGCTGGGCCGAAGTGGGAAAGTCAGTCCAAAAACAAAGAGGGGGCAGGATCTGAAGCAGGTACTGGTATAGCGCCCTCGGGCGCACCTTCAAAAGGCTTGTTTGGGCCCTCCGGGAGTACCTATTCAACCCCAGCAGTGAGACTGAGGTGGATGGAAGCAGTTGACGAGGCTTGTAATACCCGCCCCTTCTCTTGAACAGGCCCTGTCTTGGCGGCAGAGCTGTGAAGTGGGCCGGTTGTTGAGGCCTGAAGCACTTCCTGTAAGTAGCCAAGGCATAGAGGCCCAGGGACCTGAGGGTAGCCCTTGAGTCCTTCAAGCCACAGAGCTTTGTGTCTGTTTGCTCTGAAAACAAGGTGCCTTGGAAAGGGAGGCCTTGAATCGACTGCTGGACCTCCTCAGGTAGCCCCAAGGACTGTAGCCAAGAGCATCACCTCGTGGCCACTGCAGAGGCCATTGTTTTGGCAGCCGCATCAGCACTGTCCAGTGCTGCCTAGGGTGAGGCCCTCACAACATTTTTTCCCTCCTCAAAGAGGGCATAGAATTCTTGCCTGGAGTCCTAAGGCAGCGAATCTTTAAATTTTGACAAGGAGTCCCACAAGTTGAAATTGTATCTCCCCAGCAGGGCTTGCTGGTTCGAGATAAACAGCTGTAGTCCACCCATCGAATACATTTTTCTGCCAAGCAGATCCAGTTTCTTTGAGTCCTTCTGTTTCGGGGTTGCGCTTGCTTGGCCTCATCTATCCCTCTCATTGACCACCAAGACAACAAGGGACCCGGAGGACGGTGAGTGTACAGGTACTCATACCCTTTGGCTGTAGTATTTCTTCTCTGCCCTTTTTGAAGTGGGAGGGAGAGAAGAAGGAGTCTGTCACAGGGCTCTGACCAGACCCATTACAGCCTTGTTACTGGGCAGGGCCACCTTAGATGGTGCTGCTGCAGTCAGAATGTCAATGAGGCTGTGAGATGATTCCTTGAGCTCCTCAGCCTCTAGTCCCAGGTTAGCCACTATCCTCTTTAGAAGCTCCTGGTGGATCTGCTGGGTCCCAAGACAGCCTTATCTGGGGAGGAGGAAGAGGCCTGTACCAGAGAAGGAGCTTCCTCCTGTTCCTCTGCATCGATTACTCCCATGGAGCCCACATCCTGTGCATCGGTGCCGGGTTCGGTACAAGAGTCAGGGTCCAGTGCCGAGCACAGCAGTGAAGCAACTGAGTATAATCAGTGGGACGACGGACCCGGTATTGGGGAAAATCCCCATGGGTTCCAGAATGGCCATTGCACAGGCCATCATCCACCTGACAAGGTACTGGGGCGGGAACCCGCATCGGGATGCGACGGTACATTAGATGGGTACCGGTGGCATCTCTTGGGATGGGCGTAGGACTCCAACTCAGACTCCAACAAAGAGTCCTCCTGAGGTGATCACGGGGGAGCAGTACCCTTCACTTCCACCATTCAGCGATGAGAGTCTGGGGACCGGAGCCAGACCAGAGGCGACCATGCAGAAGAAAGCAGGGTCGATTTGCCCCTGAAAGATACCAAAGGTCCTGGTGCCGGGAAGGAGCTCAGAGCACTATGCTCTCTCCTGCTCATGCTCATCAGAGCCGCCTGTTGTCCCATCAAGGTCAGCGGTACTGGGAGCGATAAGAAGTCCCTGGCCACTGCAAAGACCTCCAGGGTAGAAGGTACCATGATCCTGCTGGTGCCGCTATGATTTTCTTGGCATCAGTGGGGGATTCTGTACTGGACTCGATGTCCATCTAGGCAGAGTTGACGGTGCCACCATAGGTTCTCGGGTGGAGGAGTGGCCCAACATGTGTCGCACTCCACTGTCTTCCCCTTGTTTGCCTTTCTTCAGCACCAGAGAGTGCCCTCTCTCAGCGCGCTGCTTTTTAATCTCTCTTCCTCAGCACCAGAGATGGAGAACAGTATCGGGAAACGCACGGTGGAGAAGGGGCACTTCGAACCAAGGCCAAAGTGCTAAGTGCCGAATCTGAGCGACCTGGCTTCAATGCCAGTCTAAGAGTGGCTTTCATTAGGATAGCCCTCAGTCTAGCTTCTCTGTCTTTCTTCATACGAGGCTTAAAGTCCCAACAAATCTGACTGTGCTGTCTTACGTGAGAGTCTCCCAGACACTTCAGACAACTGGAGTGTGGGTCGATCACTGGCATGGGCTTGCCACAGGAGGCACAAGATTTGAATCCCACAGACTGGTACATGCCCAGCCTCAGGAGTAACGGGAGCCCCTCTACAATAAAGGAGGGGGTCTACGCTAGTGTATTTACACTACAGCTATACTAAGAATAATGACTAAGATGCAGAGAAGAAAACCACGGAAAAATGCCTTGCCTAAGCAAGAGAAGCTGTTCCAGCAACTGTCACGGGCGGTAAGAAGAAACTGGGAGGGGGGGTGCAGGGCTGGCAGTGCCCCTTAATCCAGCGCATCAGCGCATGCCACCAGAGGACGATAGAGCCGGCCTGACAGATACCACTGAGGGAAAAATCACCAACAACATGTACATGGCGAGTGCACACCTAACGTTGAATGGACATGAGCAATCACTCGAAGAAGAATATATTTTCCAACTAGAATTTTTTCCTTTTTTTTTATCAATTGCCATGCAGGCAGGATAAGACTTTTCCAAAAGCAAACTACCTATTTATCTGTATCTGTCTATGCACACACCCTTATATGTTGTTTGAGTCACACTTAATGACAAAGGCCCTGAAAGTTGAAACACTTCTACCATATAAAACTTCAGAAAGAATATCCAATAAATGTAATAATACATACATAGAGCCACAAAAGTGGAGTGCACAGGCTCGTTTTCCTCTATGTTTCCCAGGTGTCACAGGAAATACCCTTCAACGCTGACCCTGAGAGTGAAACCACTGATTTTGCACTGGGAAGCTCAGGCATAAACTTGTCAAATCAACCTCCTTTGGCCCTTTGGGGGAAAATTATTTTAGAAGACCAAAAACTGGGAAAAAAATATTTGCAACAAGTACATTCTGTTCAGAACTAGCACATACGCGAAAAGAGAGTGTTAATGGATTTGTGAGAGGCCCAGAAAATATGCTTCTTTAAGTTAAGCTTCACATTGAGTTGTTTACAGCTGTGCTTTTTATTAACTAAAAAGGTGCCTATTTCTTACTAATATATCGGAGGCTTATTGTGGCTGGCCCTCGCAGGTACAAGGGAAGACAGAAGGAGCGAGAAGTTTTTCCCCTTCCTTGCTCCACTGCAGCGAGTCCAGCCATAATGTGGCTGGGGATGGGAGGCACAGCTTCATGCTAGTCTTCATTTATTCACTCTAATTTAAGGTTTCACGAGCCAGTAATACATTTTAACATTTTTAGAAGGTCTCTATCTATAAGTCTATAATATATAACCAAACTATTGTTGTATGTAAAGTAAATAAGGTTTTTAAATGTTTAAGAAGCTTCATTTAAAATTAAATTAAAATGCAGAGCTCCCCGGACCGGTGGCCAGGACCTGGGCAGTGTGAGTGCCACTGAAAATCAGCTCGTGAGCCGCCTTCGGCACACGTGCCATAGGTTGCCTACCCCTGTGGTAGACAGTAGTGGAGTGTTGAGAATCAAGGTTCCTGGTTCTGTTCCTGGCTCTAGAGGGAGAATGCGTGCAAGTGTTTAGAAAAGAGGACTGAGTCTTGGGTGCTGTTTGTAGTTGCTGGTGCTTTGCAATCACATAGTGCTCATTCAGCTGAGAGCATGGAAGTGTTTTGCAAAGTATAGGAGTCACCTTATTTTACAGCATAACCAAGTACCTATAATTGGCACATTTTTCTGAAAGCCTGCGTGGCTGAATGGACCAGGCTTGAGGCTGCCATATAACAGAGACTGTGAGACAATAGACTTTAAAGCATGACATTTTTATGTACAGAAAAAGGTCTTACTTCCCAGGAATGAATTTCACTTGTTGTGGGGGTTGGGTAGTGTCATTTTAATAAGGGGGTCTTGGGCCCAACAAAGTGTTTATTAACATCTTTTCCCTTGCTGGATTTGAGACACCCCTTTATTTGGAGATCATTGCTCGTCTGCCAGTGATAATCAGGCATCTTCATTGGTGTGTTGAGTTCTGGATGTTCCTGAGGAAAACAAAGTCTGTATTCAAATCCCTGAACCACATTTAATTGCTTAATGATGTACAGCAACACAATCAGGTTAATACCTTTGACTCTCTGGACCCACTTATTTCATCACATAAACACATTAGCAGGGGTAACTGAGTGGTGAGGGGGGAAATTCCACATTTGTGGGGAGGAGGAGACATTTCTCTGTTTAACCTGGCGCTTATTTGAAGATGCTGAGGAAAGGGTTGGAATGTTCAAATAAGTCCCGAGGGGATGGATTAGTGAGCAGGACAGGGGCTGCCAGTGAGGTGGTCAAAGCTGCAGGATAACTTATCACATTACTCTGCAATGTTTCACGTGTGTGTGTGTGTGCATGTGTGTAAATGTATAAAAGCTGTTTGTCTCATGGCCTTCCAAGGCTAGAAACGGGAGCTTTGTAATTCCACTGGGAAAGGGAGCTGCTGAATTTTTCCAGTTGAGATACACAGCACTTGCCCCAAGCCCAAGGCAACAGTGGTGACATTTTTCAGTATAGGAAAGCCAGGATAGGTCAGTAGTAGAGGTTTTTATGGTTCCCACTGAGCCTTATACACCTGGACTCATGGCAACAAGGCAGTTGGCTTTATAAGGGGGTGGATATGGAAAATAGCCCCCAAAACAGAGATGCACAAACACTTCCTCTAACTACCTTAACAACAACCTCTTACTACTTCTCCATCCCACAGAGCACTTGAATTAATGGCTTTGCTTCCCACCAGTATACTATAGTCACAGTCTATTTGGTTGAAACAGTGATAAAAGCACTAGCTGTACATCATGAATTACTATTGTGCTTAGAGCTGACTCAACACCTCGCTGAATGCCATACTCATCCTGGCAACGTTGTCAGACTGTGGAGGGAGAGGCTACTCTTTGCTGCAGGCTCTAAAAGTAGGTTTGTATGAAGCTGATTCAGAAGGTGAATAATTTTGATAAGAGCCTGTATAGTCACTCCTATCTGCCCTACTCCCACACCACACTCAGTGTTTCTTCCCACTGATTAATAACCACTCTTTCCTCCTACATGCTATCAACACCTGACTGTCTATTCCAAGGGTCGGCAACCTTTCAGAAGTGGTGTGCCGAGTCTTAATTTATTCACTCTAATTTAAGGTTTTGTGTGCCAGTCATACATTTTAATGTTTTTAGAAGGTCTCTTTCTATAAGTCTAAAATATATAACTAAACTATTGTTGTATATAAAGTAAATAAGGGTTTTTAAATGTTTAAGAAGCTTCATTTAAAATTAAATTAAAAAGCAGCGCCCCCCGGACCAGTGGCCAGGACCTGGGCAGTGTGAGTGCCACTGAAAATCAGCTCCTTTGCCGCCTTCGGCACGTGTGCCATAGGTTGCCTACCCCTATTCTCACTCCACAACAGTCAGTTCCTATAATGCATTCAAAGCACAATTTCGTCTGGCACTTTTTTAAAGTTAATTCTGTTAAAGCACATTTTTTGTCTGAGAGAGCTCTGGCTTCACAGGTGGGAACAAATAAGCTTTAATGTCTTTTACCATACCTGCTCTCAGATACTCTGTTCCCTCTATTGAATATCTTGGGCCACATCCTGCAAAAGATTGTGCTGCACTTAACAGGGACTGCCGTGCAGTGGCATTTCGGATGTGAAGTGGAAGTAGCACCTGAGTCCTGTGAGTAAAACTGTTCAGTGTGGCCCCACCCCCACTCATTCCTTATACCCCCCTGTTGTGGCATGAAAATGATATGGGATTAGCTGGGAGTAGATTACACTATAGGCAGCTCTCCCTATTCCCTATCCTAGCAGCAAAAATTCAGTGCTCACCAGACATTTTACCAAACAATATATTTCTCTCTCATTTGCAAATTTCCCTTCTTATCCCCCTTTTTGGTCTCTGCAGGTTCTGGTCTATACCATATGCTGTCCACATGCTGCGTAACAGGTTTAAAATGAGGGGAGGAAAGAGTACAATCGAAAAATAATACTTAATATTCGTGCAATGGGCCCCCATCTAATCACCTGTACACAAGCTTTGAAGGTTGTCTCCCTCATTTGAAGACAGTATTGTAGAGATCAGGATTCCTTGCATGGCAAGAAGGCGCTCCATCAAGCTGTAATTGTTTATTGTTGCTCTTGGATCCCATTGGGTCTCAGAGGAGTTATTCTGCTATGAATTTTTAAATGTAAAAATAAAAATCTAATTGGCAATGCTTTCTTTTTATCTGGTCTTTTACCTCTGCTGATAATTGATGCACATGCATCATGGAAACAATTCTGAGGAACAGAAATCTAGGAGCAGTTTTCCCCTTTTATTCCATATATATATTTCATTTAATTATAATGGACTATAAATATTATGCAACATTCTGCAATCATTACAGCTACAACAAGCATTGTTGCTGCTACAGGCTCATACTCCACTACTCATGAGAGGTGAGGGAGGATAGTAACATTGCAAATCATGCTCCATATTTAAATGAATATTTCTACGTTGTACTAGAAGGGAAAAAAGCAAGGATTACAAAACGGGCCCAATCTGATGGTCTATGCATGCAGGTGAAGATAGCTATCAATTGTGCATACAGGTGTTAGCACTTGAAAAGTGTGCACATGGAAAGCTGAGCGTTCAAACAAGAAGTGCCCTTTGTGCACTCTTCAGGGAGCTGGAGGCCACCTTAGCAGCTGCACAGTGGAGGCAAGGCATGGGAGAGTGTGCAAGAAAACAAGACAGGTCGATGGGATGCTGAAATAGTGGTGGAGCTCTAATAGCAGATCCAAGTGTTCCTTTGTGGCAGAGATTCAGGACACAACCCTTTAAATATTGTCTCCAGATTTATTTGGATGTATGCAGTTTTTCCATGACCATCTCCTGTAATCAGTCTGCAGTGATGGGAAAAACAGGCAGTTTCCACTTTCTCACAAGCTGTTGTTTCCTGCTTGGTCAGACTGGCTCGTCGTGTACTGTAACAATCCACTAAATTCCCCCAGTGTGTCACCATGATTAGGTAGCATTATCCATAGCATGTAAATATTGGCACAATTGTAACAGGTGCAGAATTTACCACGTACAGTATGTCTGTACACTGGAGAAAGGCAGAAGAATTAGCATACACACACACACACACACACACACGCCAGAGGGCCCAGGCCAGCCAAACTCTTTCCATGGGAAGGAGCCCTCCAAAATATGCTCTGCCATTGTGTTGAAAAATACTTATAGGTTTTCAGACAATGGGTGCGATAAAGCAAGAACAAATGTTGTAATCTGCACAGCATGAATGAGGCAAAAACAGTGTGTAAGAAGGACAGGAGTGTTGGCCAGGGTGCTGAATGGAAGAAGTGCGTGAGGTGAGGAAAACACACAGCTATTTGTGTCAAAAATGTGTAATGAAGTGTATTGAAGTATTCTCAGCAGGACTTCATTATCTTCCATTTTAAAATTTTATACAACAGGCCACTGACTTTCCAAATAATTATTTTTGTACAAAAGCAATTTAAAAAAAAACATTTATTTTTACATGTGGGTTATGCTCTATTTCCTCATCCTCCCTGTAGCCCCTGTAGGATCCAGGGCAAACAACTGAGACACTGCTGTATCAATTACTCTCTAACCCCTATCCTACAATCCTTGCATGCGCAAGACTCAGTAGGATTTTTCCTGCATAGAAAATGTAGGATTATTATTAATCATGTTTCTAATGGTAGTGCCTAGATCAGGGCCCTTTATGCTAGGCACTGTACAAATCCAGAGAAGGCCACACTGTCCCTGCCTGGGGATCAACCCCTGCAGAATATGGATAATGAAGTGAAATTGTTTCCAAAACTTTAGAAGTGAATTATCACTAAGCAAGAAGGACCTTCAAGTCTTTTCAGCAATGAGGTCAGTCTGTAATTGTGAGAACTCTGCTCCTTTGTTAGATCAGAATCTGTCTGGCATTACATGTCCTTATCCTCTGCCCTAATGAATAGGTCCACTTTGAAACAACTGACAATTTGTCCAGATTTTACATGGGTTACATCCTGCGGATAAAACTGCAGAAGAACGTGTTAAAATCGCACAGTGTGTTCTGCAGTTTCTGACCATTCATCTTTTTCGTACAAGGCAAGTCTGCTCTCCACTGTGTGCTCTGCTAATATACGTTCAGCTTCACTCTCTTCTTCTGTTGACTCCTGAGCTCCTCAGTCACTCCTGCTGGTACAGCCACAGGGAAATCACCTGGAAATCATCACTGGGGAGCACCCAGTACATGCCTGTGAGGTAGTCTGGACACTCTTCCCCCACATAAATTCCCAGGCCCTCAGAGATCCCCAACGGAAAATTTAGCCAGGGCCGGCTCCAGGCACCAGCCTGGCAAGCAGGTGCTTGGGGCGGCCGCTCCGGAGAGGGGCAGCACATCCAGGTATTCGGTGGCAATTCGGCGGACGGTCCCTCACTCCTGCTGGGAGCAAAGGACCTCCCGCCGAATTGCCGCCGCAGATCGCGATTGCGGCTTTTTTTTTTTGGCTGCTTGGGGTGGCCAAAACCCTGGAGCTGGCCCTGGATTTAGCACCACTGAATGACCCACACACATTCACTTTCATTAACAAAAACAGAAGAAAATGGCTACAGAGCAGGGAATAGGCTTGCACGGCACTTCACAGCTTCGAATGGAGACTGAATTACAAGGCATGCTTTTCAAAGCACATGCCGAAGATGCACTCAGGAAATCTCTCTCTTTACAACCAGCTGTGTGTGTACATCGTCCCTGATATATTTTACATTTGTTCTCCTTAACTTGCTGTTAACCCTTTCCACACTTCCCACATCTTCTCATAATCGCTTTCTTTTTAGAGGATCTCCCAGGACCCTCCTGATTTTCTGTCTCCATATTCCCTCTTCCATCTCTGTGCATCACACTGCAGCATCTCCCTCACACAGATCATCACAGCTTTGCATCTGCCTCTTCCCACTACCCCATGGCCATACATGCTAAAAGAGTGCAGGCAGGGAGAAGTTGTTTTCGGACTCTGTCTCCTGCCAGTCTGTGATCACAGAAGGGAAAGGGTTAAAATCATAGAATATCAGGGGTGGAAGGGACCTCAGGAGGTCATCTAGTCCAATCTCCTGCTCAAAGCAGGACCAACACCAACTAAATCATCCCAGCCAGGGCTTTGTCAAGCCGGGCCTTAAAAACCTCTAAGGATGCAGATTCCACCACCTCCCTAGGTCAGTGGTCTCCAAACTTTTTTGATCGTGCACCCCATCAGTAAACAATTTTGAGCATGGACCCCCTGCCGCGCCGAAGGAAAAAAAAAAAAAGCCGCTCAGACTCCTGCCCGAACCGCCGAAGCGGGGGCAAAAAAAAAGCGCTCCTCCTGCCGTGCACCCCCAAGGATCCTCTTGCGCACCCCCTGGGGTGAGCGCACCCCACTTTGGAGACCACTGCCCTAGGTAACCCATTCCAGTGCTTCACCACCCTCCTGGTGAAATAGTGTTTCCTAATATCCAACCTAAACCTCCCCCACTGCAACTTGAGACCATTGCTTCTTGTTCTGTCATCTGCCACCACTGAGAACAGCCAAGCTCCATCCTCTTTGGAACTCCCTTCAGGTAGTTGAAGGGTGCTATCAAATCCCCCCCTCACTCTTCTCTTCTGCAGATTAAATAACCCCAGTTCACTCAGCCTCTCCTCGTAAGTCATGTGCCCCAGCCCCCTGATCATTTTCATTGCCCTCCGCTGGACTCTCTCCAATTTGTCCACACCCCTTCTATAGTGGGGGGACCAAAACTGGACACAATACTTCAGGTATGGCCTCACCAGTGCCGAATAGAGGGAAATAATCACTTCCCTCAATCTGCTGGCAATGGTCCTATTAATGCAGCCCAATAGGCCATTAACCTTCTTGGCAACAAGGGCACACTGCTGACTCATATCCAGCTTCTCGTCCACTGTAATCCCCAGGCAGGGCCGGCTCTACCATTTTTGCCGCCCCAAGCGAAAACAAAAAAAACGCTCGGACTGCCGCTGCCCGAACTGCCAAAGCAGGAAAACAAACAAAAGAAATGCTTGGACTGCTGCCCGAACTGCCGAAGCACCAAAAAAAGCAAGCCGTCCGGACTGTGCCACCCCAAGAATGGATGGAATGCTGTCCCTTAGCATGTGCCACCCCAGGCACGTGCTTGCTCCGCTGGTGTCTGGAGCCGGCCCTCTCCACAGGTCCTTTTCTGCAGAACTGCTGCTTAGCCAGTCGGTCCCCAGCCTGTAGCAGTGCATGGGATTCTTCCTTCCTAAGTGCAGGACTCTGCACTTGTTGTTGAACCTCATCACATTTCTTTTGGGCCAATCCTCCAATTTGTCTAGGTCACTCTGGACCCTATTCCTACCCTCCAGCGTATCTACCTCCCGCCAGCTTAAGTTCTTCACATGGGGCCTCCTTCCACTCACCGGGGGAACAGAGCTATTCCCGAGAGTCTCCACATGGAGCACTGGCTGCCTCCAGCATGGCTGCGGCTTTTTGGATGTACTTCCTTATCCACCTGTCACCACAGGCCAGAGCGACTGATCAGCATTGCTGCAGCACACCTGAAGCAGCTGGCTGGTAGCCAGCAGAGAAATTACAGTGCCACTGCGACCTTCTCAGTCAGGAGGTCAACATAAGCTACAATGACCAGACAAGGGCGTCTTTGACTCAAGAGCCCACCCAGGTCTGTGGGCTTCCTGACCTTTTTAAGATGGCTCAGATTTCAGTTCAACATGAATGATATTCCAATCACTGTACACTTTGCAAATAGAAAGTCAGTGTTTGCCCACACTTTCCACTCACTGGTTTTGGAGATACTGCAGTAATCACTTGTTACAAGTATACAGAAATTACTGCAGTTTGCAATCACTGGGCTAAATTCACTGACAAAGGTGCAGGGGGCGTACCCCAGCACAGCGCTGGTGGTATTTACAATGCTGTCATTCTCAGAGGTCATGTCAGGAAAAGTCTACTTTAAGTTGTGGTTGGGTTGCCAGAATTAGCAGATCCTACAGGTACCTTAGATGAACCTCTTTGCTGGCTTTCTACTTCTGAAGCAGCTCCAGCCAGCTCCAGCCACCAGCCACATGAATTTGAGGGCATCTTTCAGCACAGTAGCCCTCTCCCCTACACAGAGTTTACATCAGTATGATCCCA